GGCAGTGAGGCCGACTACGGGTCCACACACCGGATTCGTCTATCAGGTAAAGATGCCGAGACGGATGGCCGTAATATCAAGAACGGTATGGGTTGAAGGCTTACGCAAAGTCAATACGTGAGCGTTTGGAAATTCCAACATGTGAGGATGTCAAAACACCCGACGTAGGGGAGAAACGGGCCCCAGATGAGCAGCTGGGTGACAGGCTACATCGTGGCCAAACGTCCCGATAAATGACCCGTTGAACAGTGGACGCTGGGGTTGAGGTCGGAGACGCGTCGAGATCAGCGGATCCCCGGTCAAGCCCGCGTCGAACTGATCTCGGGTAGCCGTGCGCACGTCACGTGTTGGCATCCGGCAATAATTCCAGTCCCAACCGAGTGCCCCTTTCGTCCGTTCTCCACTGCTCCAGCCCAGACTTTGCTATATAACCCGAGGCTCCTACTGCCAGACTGTGACATTTGCGGTCCGCCCGACAACCTTTGCCTTTTACCCTCCTGTCATTCGTTCGCTCGCGTCTCACCGTCGCCAGTGCACGCTTGTCGCTTAACAGTCCTTTTGAATGCTTCGTCTTTCCACCTCTTTGTCACCAGCTCGAAGGATCGTCTCGTCTGCACCACTGAAGATGGCGCCAAAGAATCGAAATATAACGCGCTCGGCACCACGAAGGAACGCTCTCCCATCTGGGTACGTTGCGGATCCCTCCGTCGGACCCATGCTCCAGTTTCAACGATCCCTGCCGAAATTGCCTGTGCCCACACTCGCTTCGACTGCCGCCAAGTATTTGGAAACCGTAGAACCGCTCGTTACGCCCCAAGAGTTCACCGCGACGAAGAAGGCTGTCGAGCAGTTTGTCTCCTCTGAGCAGGGCAATGAACTCCAAAAGAGGCTGCTAGCGCGTGCTGCAGATGGCCGGCCGAGTTGGCTATCCGACTGGTGGAATGAGGTTGCCTACATGGGTTACAGGGATCCCGTCGTCGTGTTCGTCAGGTACGTATTGTCGGTGCACCGCTCTATGTAGTAGCTCATGCCTCCTTATAAGTTACTTCTACGTCCACGTCGACGATGCCCTGCGCGGCGATATCGTCTCGAGAGCTGCCTCGCTCGTCAAAGCCCTCCTCCCCTTCCGTGAACTCGTGGAAACGTGAGTTTCCCTCCTGTGCCATGTGACAGTCCAAACGCTGGTGCTGAGAATCTCTCCGTACAGTCAGCAGCTCGCCCCAGAGAAAGTTCGAGGCATCCCAATCGATATGTCTTCTTACAAATGGTTGTTCAACTCGTCCCGCTATCCCGTCAAGCCTTCTGACACCGCTCGGAAATTTGACCCCAACACGAATAATCACGTCGTTTTCGTTCGAAAGAACAAGTTCTTTGAGGTTCCCGTTGTCATTGATGGTGTGGAACTAGGTACCAAGGAACTCGAGGCGTACGTATAATTCAACTGAGTAGTGACCGAGAACATAACGCTGATTGTTACGCCATAGTCAGATTGCTGAGATTATTGAGCTTGCTGGTCCTCACCCTGGCCCCGCGGTTGGCGCCCTCACGTCTGAGAACCGTGACATCTGGACCGACGCCCGAGAGACCTTAATCAAGGCATCCCCGATCAACGCAGAATCGCTGGGACGCATCGAGTCGGCCATTGTTGTCGTGGCTCTTGACGATACGACACCGTTTGAGCGTGAGGAAGTGTCACGAGCCTGCTGGGTAGGCAATGGGAGGAACAGGTTCTATGACAAGCACCAATGTAGGTTACCGCATTCAGGCAAAGCGTCTTCACGAGCTAAGCTCTCTCTCTCTCAGTAATTGTCTTTGAGAACGGAAAATCGGGTTTCCTGGGTAGGTTGGAATGATTTTGTTGTCCCCTAGCGCGACTAACGATGGCTGAACAGGCGAACACTCTTGCATGGACGGAACGCCAACTCTGCGGTTGAACGAATTCATCTTGTCCTCCTTACAACACAACAAGATCAACCACGGCTCGGAAACCGTCCGCCAGAATCTTCCTTCGCCCAAAGAACTAACGTTCAAGTTGGATGCCGCGACCAAGAAGAACATTGCAGAAGCTGAGAAACACTTTGATGAGCTTGTTGGGGCACACGATCTCGAGGTCCTTCACTACGGAAACTTTGGAAAGAATGAAATCAAGAAGTTCAAGGTGTCTCCAGACGCCTGGGCTCAACTCGTCAAGCAGCTTGCTTTCCATAAGATGGAGAAGCGGCCTGGCGTCTGCTACGAGAGTGCCCAGACTCGTAAGTTCCAGCTTGGTCGGACAGAAGTCATCCGCAGCGTGAGCAATGAGAGCAAAGCGTTCGCAGAAGCAATGCTGAACCCCGGTGAGACTGTAAGTACTTCTCGGCCTTGGGGTCTTACCTTGCTGATGGTTATGGCTACGACAGGACGCCCATCGCGCAGCTCTCTTCCGCAAGGCTGCCGCACGGCACATCCAATATGCTGCTTGGGCTGCTGATGGTCAGGGCGTTGACCGTCACCTCTTTGGCCTGAAGAAGCTCTTGAAACCTGGAGAGCCCGTTCCCGCTATCTACACGGACAAGTCCTACAGCAAGTCAAACCATTGGGAGCTTTCGACATCTAATCTATCCAGCGAATACCTGGACGGATGGGGCTACGGTGAAGGTGTGTCAATACCATCTGCTCTGAGGATATACCTCTAAACACCCTTTTTCCATACAGTCGTGCCCGATGGCTTCGGTCTTTCCTATTCTATTGGCGACCACTACCTCCGGTGGACTATAACCAGCCGGACTGGGCGGTCGGCAGAGCTCAAGGAGCATCTTGCCGAAGCTGCGACCGAACTTCGGGAAATGATGGAGCGCGTCGCGAAAGCGGAGGCAACGGAGAAGGCGAAGCTGTAATTGGGACTTGTTGTTTTTATAGAAACCTTAATCATCTGTGCTGCAGTTAATGTGGTCTTTAGCGTTGTAATTTACCGGACGTAATCGCCGTTATCATTCGAAAGGAACAAGTTAACCAATAGCTTCAGATGCGGCTTGTTGAATAACGGGTTGTCTCTTATACAGCCAAGTACAGGAGATAGGTATTCCATTTAGTGAAGTGATCACCGAGCGGTCCTTCCTTATGTCCTATAGATCAGTAGATCAGATCCCTCACTTTCAAGGTCTCTACCCGCCGTCGAAACGCGTCAACCCCATACTCGCGAAGATTCTTCAACCCCCCTACGATGTGAAGCTTCTTGAATTTAGGACGTGTCTCAGCGTCTCCGCTTCTGCTGTCCGCCCAGGCATCGAGGAAGCGAATAAAGTCGTCAACCTGGAAGTCCCAATTGGGGGATGAGATGGCAGTGAAGGACGTCAACTTCCCCCAGTTGCCGGTGCGGACAGACGCTATCAAGAATTCGATAGCTTCCTCCCAGATGTGTGGATCGCGATTGATGATAGTGAGGTCCTCTACGAGGTGTGACACTGTTTCTATGACGAGCAGGATGTCCAAGGTCCGTATACCGATCCTGATGCTGGAAATTGATGTCGCAGGGACGAGGTTGAGGAATCTTTCCACGAAATAAGGCTTGTCTAGTACATTGGAAAGAGAAAAGAAGACGCCTGACTCCAAAAGCTCGTCTGGATGGTGTTGATAAGCAAACTGCAGCATTTCCCCGTACACTTCCTCTATAGAGACGACCTTTGTGTGCTTTACCATGGAAGATATGAGGTCTAGCGCCTGCTGATCTGCAAGGTCGTTGAATCCATACCGCCGCATATCGCAGCGGATGTTCAGGAACTCGCACCGGGGGAGTAGTAGCGTCCCAAGTATGGTGTTGACCGTGGGCACATCCAAGTCTATCATCGACACTTTGGTGAGTCTGGGAAGGGTGAATGGGGGCGGGATGGAACTGGGTGTGTCAATGATACGACTCCCTTCTACCGATCTATCCAACACCAACTCCTCCAGGTTTGAGCAGGCGCGGAGCGTTTCGAGGAGCGGTGCGATGCGGACTCTGCAGCTCGTAGACGCCGTGTTCCAGAACACGCCCCGTACGTCAAACCGAGTGTAGGAGAGGCGGAACGACGTCAGCCTGGATGGAAGATCGCCATGCCAGGGATATAACGGGGGGTATGGCACGAGGTCGCCGTCACTCCGCGTCGTCGTGAAGGTGCCTGTATCTGGAAGTCGGACGATTGGTGATTGGGAACCGAGCTTGATGGAGAAGGAGTGTAGTACCGGGTAGTCGCAGCGTAGAACCTTTATCATTGACTGCCAACGAATGAAGTCGAGGACATGATCCTCGAAGTGGATAAAAAGAGATGAGCAACGATGGGCGTTGTAGCATATGGCGAGGAGGAATTCATTAAGGAGGGCGGGGTCCTCTTTCGATGGGGAGCAAGTTGCCTGGAAAGAGAGTCGGGCGCCTCCCGACTTGGGGAGAGCTTTCCGCATCCACTTCACTCCAAACGACAGATCGACAAATGTCCAGACTTCTCTGCAACTTTGTATCAATCTGTTCCAGTATCGGCAGGTCAAACAGAATTGGGCGAGGCGTTTGTGGTATGGATGGTCGCGTTCAACAGCAAGGGCGAGCCAAATAATCCGTTCAAGTAGCTCCGCAGGGAGGTCCCCGAGATCGGTTTTGGTTTTGGAGCCAACCGGCGACCGACCGACGGGTCCACTCGACCTTCTTAGTGATAGCTCACTAAGCTGTGGTGTGGGACTCGGGGGTGTTCCTATGAGTGCACATTAAGAAACTGTAGGGCACAATGTATGGGATGCACACATACTTGGAATCCCAAATCTCGCCATAATGGATACACTATGTTGCCCCGATGTGCGGTGGTGGTATCGAATTCGGTGTTACCCTGGTACTGTTCGCAAAGTACCTTTGTTTCCACGTAAACCACGTGATGCACCCGATGGCTCTGCAAGGAACGGTTCTGCAGGGTGAATAAAAAGGGGGCGAGTGTGTTGGATTGAGGTTTGCAACCGATGAAGGCGGAAGAAAAGTTGAGGAGCAGACGCCAAAAAAGCGATCCAGACAGGGGTCGAACCTGTGACATTTGGTTATGAACCGAACAAAGCGATCGAAGACCAACATGCTAGCCACTACATCACTGGACCGTTGAAACCGTGGACGATGTTGCAGCTTCTTGGCATGGTGGAGGATTGCGGCGAAGAAGATACCCGTTTAAGTCCGTCACCACTCTATTGTTCCCAACTTACCACGTTCTACAAACTCGTCTTGAATGGATGACGAGTTCGAGTTCGATGACTTGGACGACACCGTAATATCCGCCATCAATGATATTGAGAACAAGTATGCCGCCGCGTCGAACCAGGTCACCGAATTTCCACAAATCTCAAAGCCACTCGTTGTCCCAAAGCAAAATGCACCAACAACGCCCAGGGTGACAACTGGACCGCCGCCTCCAAAAAGACCGCGAACGGAGACTTGGGGTGCACAGAATAGTGGAAGCAACCAACCGACGCCTAACACTGCAAAACCATCGGTCAGACCGCCGCCTGCAAGGATCGCCAGGACAACCTCCATCGACGACATACCTGACATCTCACTGGCCGCTGATGGGTCTTACTTCATTTCCAAACCAAATTCAGGCGGTCTGTCCAGTTCTACCTTTGGTCCTCCGAAGGTCGTCCCTCCCCGTCCTCCAGACCCCAAACCCGCAGGACTAACCACCAATACTCCCACGCTGGGGGTCCCTCCTCGGCGCAATGTAATCACAAGAGGGAGTGAAACCAATGCGAGTAGAGTGGAGCATAGGCCCAAACCGCTTGCTTCCAACGCGACGCCGAGCAATCCCACCCCTCAAGCCCTTGCCCGACCTCCCAGTATTCACCGATCTTTGTCATCCACCTCTATCCAATCTTCTCAAGGAGAAAGACGCGGTCTATCCAGGTCTGTGTCTTCCGGGTCGAAAGTGCTTGCCTCAGGAAGCAGCCAGGAGGTGATTGTTAACTATCATGGACCATTCACCACTCCCTTTGCAACGCCTAAAGTTGGGCTCTTGGGAGCCTTGCCAAACGAACCAAATGAAGTCAAGCGTGACGGGTCAAATGTACCAGTTCCTCCTGACTCCGCAAGTTCATTCGAAATGACCGAATTAAAGGACCAGCTTGCTAAGGTGTGGAGGTCTCTGGTCGTGCATCATTAGCGACTAAGAAATCCCTCTTCGATTAGCTGCGAATGGAGACAGAATCGCTGAAGGAGTCCCTCAAGCAAGCTGAACGCAGTCGGTTGTTGAAGGAAGGGGAGGCCAGTAATATCAGACGCTTGATGGACCAGGTTAGTCGCTTTTAACCCGTGTCCTTTCCTTCCTGACCCAGCTATTTACAGCAAGCTCAAACCCATGCGAATGATCTGGAACGAATCAAGACCGAACGTGATACCAAGATTGCGACTGCTCTCAAGGCGCAAGAAACCCTGCAAGCGACGATCGATGGCTTGAAAACACAATTAATGTTCAAGCAACACGAGACGGACCTCTCCTCGGCAAAATGGAATGTAGGTGGAAGCACAAAGAAGAAGGGACATCCACAAATGTCACAGTTGCACGTGGCGCAGACTCCCCGACGGGCTGGTGCCAGCCTGTTCACGGCGGACCGACTGGTCACACCGAGGCGAGGTTTGACGGCGACACCCCAACGTCCGCAACCTTCCCCTAAACGATCGGATCGGGTCAGGAGTCCTGGAAAGGGGCACGATGCTGGCCGTTCGAAAGGAGGCAGATCAGAAAATAAGCCAGGTAATGCACCTTCCTGCCTCACACATGCTTTTCTAACACGCTTCTACATCTGGTAGTACCCCAACTACAGTTTGCATCGTTCCAAAACTCGTTTGCCAAGGGAACATCCCCTGTCAAACGGCGAGGCGGAGGGAGGTTGAGGGACATACCTAGCTCGCCGACAAAGGTGCCGGGTACACCAGATACTCGTCCCATCCTTGTTGTGGATCGTCCTCCCCAAAGTTCTCTACCGGAGATCGTAATTGGGGATCTTGGGCCTGAGGATGTGATTGCGACACAAGATCGACCTACAGCACCGACGGAGACGCCAACAGAACCATGGAGACCCAACTACAAGAAACACGTATGTACTATCCCCTCGCTGGCTGTGTTTCTTTGCCTCACGTGCTTTCCCAGCTACACTCCCTTCTTTTCAGTCATGTCCCGGTTGATATGGAGCGTCGTCCAAAGAGGGACGCAGAGCTCACGCTGCAGACGTTACTGTCCACCTCGTTTCCCTCAACAACACCTGACACCACCATTTCTTCTTATCGTCGGGGGTGCTCACTCATTCTCAGCACCTTCGGTTCCCATGTGCGCGAGGATGACTGGGTGGCGACAGTCCATGACGTTGCGGCAGGCTTGGTCATGTGTTTTGCTGCGCTCGCCTCCCAAGATATGGTGCGGTGTCTAGAAGCGCTTCCTCAGATCTATGGTTAACCTCATCTGGCAGTTTTCAGTATTGACACCGGTCTTGCAACTTATCGATTCCCTGATCATCTTGATACCCCAATTTGATACACAGTTTCTACCCTCTTCTCCCGACAATGACGTCCCATCGCTACTTTCGACATTCGCGACGATTATTCGTACCAATTTTGCACCGCCACCAAGTAATCTCAAGGACAAAACGCCTGAACCTCCGCCAGAGTGGGACCCCATAAAGACTTCATTGGCTAGTGGAATCTTGAATGCTGTGGAGTCCTTGACGTGGAGTCTTGCAAGCCACTCAGAGTCGTCGTAGGTGGGCTTGTCTGATACGACGAATTGGTCGCTAACTTCAATCACAGAAGCTCCGTTCCGAAACTGGCTACATTCCTTACACCAGACTGTCTGAATCACTTGATCGATCCCGCACAGCCTGCGTGGTTCTTGAAGGGATCATTGCGTCTACTGCTAGTGACGTCAGCACGTATGTCGATAGATCACCCCGAAGAAAACTTACTGAGCACCCTTTCGCAGATGAATCTTTGCATAAACCTCTCCTCTGTTTTTCGTCAGGGAATCTCTCCCCGCCAAAGGAAGAGGATTTGGCAACAAACGTCGTCCTCCAAAAGCTCAGTGGTTACTTGATGACTCCCCACCGTTGGTGGGACGATGCGGATGTGAGATATTGATTGCGTTCTCAGGGGGTATGCTCACAGATAACCACAGGTGTTATCTATGTCACGGTATATTCTTGCTTTCTTTATGACTATATCTGAAGTGCATGAAGATGGTATGAAGACCGTATTGCAATCCTTATGGGTCATTCCTTCGTTGGTGTCGTACTTGATGCGACACTCGGCACGGGTGTTTGAGGACGATGACACGCTCTTGGGAGGGTCGGAAGAAGTCCAAATGAGGTTTGTTTCTTTCCTCCAGCTTCGTATCTAGCTCACCCCTGATTTCCCGTCCCAAGCGTCATTCGGGCGATATACCCGGCACTCCACCTACTTTGGAGTCTGGTCAAACCCTGGGACCCCGTAGTTAACCTTCGGGTGAAGATCATTGAAGCCGCTGCCAGGTATCCTCAGCACTTCAACGGACTACATCATCTGTTCATCCTGGCCTTGGGGCGGCTGAGCTTTGCTGACCCTCCCGACTGGTTACCTAAACCTGGCAAGGATAGTTTAGTCAAGATGGGAGGTGAGATAGCTTCGAACTATGGATGAGTGGTGCTGATTGAATGTGCCGGTTTCCTTGGTTCCAGAGATGGCACGCGACCTGTTGGACACCGTGGTAGAAGGTCCAGAATCAGACACTATTTGGGAAGCATATCAAGAGTGCGACGAAGAGGCGGATATGAATCCTGGCGCCGATGAGGAAGGAGACGCGGATGAGGATTTGGCAAGACAGATGGGGATGGAAGTTGACGAGGGTTAGACCTATCTCGGACATAAACGTTTTCTCTGTCATACGCTCTGTTGTCTTAGGATGCTTTTCTTTGCTGTCACTTTCACGATTGGGACTTGCTTGCTGAGGGCGCGAAGCGACTCAAAATTTGAGCAGCTGTGGCCGTAAACAGGATCAAAGCAATGACACTTGGCAAAGATCCCGAACGTCAAAGGCGGTAGGTGATACTAGAGAACATTCGTTGCGGGGGATCCATATTTCACAATTCCAACTATGGTTGAATCTCCGAACTGACGGGACTACCTTATGGTCTATAGATATTGTCACCACGACGAGAGCCGGACTGCCGCTATCATTTGGTAGATCAGAGATGTGTCGTGGTTGAGAGTACTTGACGGGAAATCGGGGACATGGAACTTGATTCCCGAAAACGCCGACGTGTGATGTCATAAGCTTGGCTCAATGTGGCACCGCACTCTCGCAACGTCCCCCCTGGAATGATACGCCCGACGTCGCAGATATTTCCCTATGCCATTAGACAGTTTTTGCGAACCACTCCTTTCCACCACCGCTACTCAAAGGTTCGGATGTTGTCCGCCCCCACTAATCATCAAGGTCCTGCCCGAGAAACGAACGGAGAGGCAGCGCTGAGAGAGAATATGACGATTGGGCATTCCAAGTTCATTGCTGAAGCTGAGCATAGCGATGATTGGCAACACGCAAACGGGTCGCGTCGCGTCGAGGAGGCTTCCTCTACAGCAAAGCGTCACGGACAGCAAGGTACGTTCAATGACGAAAACAACGCCACACTCACGGAATGTGGTTCACAGCCGTTTTTTGAAAGGTCGGCTACTTCCAACGACATCTCATCTATTCAAGCTCGTGCTACCGCTACCGGGCTTGAGACCAGCGCCTGCGCGTGGTGATGTCCCTAAGCAACAAACAACTCCGAAACCGCCCCCTCCAACAGTGTTTCTTCTCCATCCTTCCCAGCCTTTATCACATATCTCGAGGTTGATACAGGCCTCGCTGCCGTCTCCAACGCATGGTCCCCAACCATTCAGCCCTCGCCTTCCGACTGTGTCCTTCCAAAACGCCACCGATACACCTAACGAAGACCAGTCCCAGCTTCAGTGGTCCGATTCAACGGACATTGGGGACTTTGTAAAAGATGCTGCACAGACAAGAGAGTTTACTATCGTAATAACACCCGACCAGACCTCCAACACAGCGCAGTTGGCTTCCACGGAGGACCAAAATGCA